CGATTCTCTGACCGCATAAACCCATCAATTGTGCTACGCAGAATGTACGTGTTGTTCCATGTGCAGTGCCCTGGCCTGGCCTGGAGTCAAACGAGGCTGCGTCGCTAAATACTTTACAAAGGAAGAGGACAGAGTGAGTGTGAGTGTGAGAGCGAGAGCGAGTTCGTTGCCTGTTCGTCTAGTGTCTGTTGCTTGTCATTTGCTGCTTCATATTTCTTCATTGCCATAATGGAGCTGGGCCTGGGCACAATGAAAGGCACTAAAATGGCGGAGGAGAAACCTCTTTGTGGTCCGCCCAGCCATCAATGTGCACTCCTTCCATATGCTCGAGGCAGCAGACAATTGGCAGCATGAATTTGAAATATTTACAGAGACTACAGGAGCCGCAGCTAGAGCAGATACAAAAGTGTAGAATCAAATATTATTGTAGATATTTGGCAGGCTCTTTGGGGTCGATTGTGGATTTGCTGCTGCTGGGATTTGTGGCCAAAGATAGCTCCTCCGCAGCCAGTCCTTAAGTGTATTAGAATTAAATTAGTGAGCGTTAAAGACCAGCAGCAAGACCGCCATATGGCAAAACCCACTGCGGTGGTGGTGGGAATGTGGCGATTCTGTGTGGGTGCTTTGTGGCCGAAGCCTACAATGGGTCCGCCTGTGGTCTCCTTTGTGGTCGTGGCAGGAAGGCAGAAGTCCAAGCAAGCACACAAGTAGCTGTGCCTCTGTGTGCGAGTGTGTTTATCTGAGTTAATTGCAATTTGCTACATCGCCAGCCAGAAATGAGTAAGTTAGTGGACAAATAGGAAGACAACAATTGAGAGGCGGCGACTTGCCGCTAAAAGTTGCACAAGCTGCAGCTGTTGGCAGCGTTGGGGCAAAATCAAATTATATCACAGGCCAGTGGGTATGTAACAGGGAAGCCAGCAGATAAATTCGATTATCAGACAATGGTTATACGTACGGATGTATACAGCCAGAAATATATATTTACACTCCTGTATTGCCTGCGGTTTAGTCGAAATTAATGTTGAAGTGCCTCTGCCTGGCTCGCAAAGACACAAACGCCAACCACTCGGCATTTGATGATGGAAAACAAAGAGCGAGAGAGAGAGACAGGAAGGAGAGGGAAGGCTAGAAGGAGCTGCTGACAATTCAATTTCCCAAAACATCATCCGCTCCGGCTTTGCCTCAAGTGGATTAAACAGGGACAATGACCCAGGGATAAGACAACAACAAGAACCACAAACCCAAATGTAAGTGATACGGGAATACGCACAGAAAGTGCTCCATTAGGCGGGGCAGAGGAGAAGCACGATTGGAAATCACTCAGCAAACATTCGCTCAAGGATGTGCTTTCAGCCTCATTCGGGGGAACGGGCCACAAAAGTGTTTAATTGGAGAAATGAATGCAGTCGGAAGCGACACACACTCAAATCGTTAGAGTCTTCCGTCCGTCTACTGCCAGCAAGTTATCCGTTTCCCCCTCAATTGTGTAACGAAACGAAAGGCAGGATGCCAGAAGCCAGAAGCCAGAAGCCAGGACAGAAGCGACGTTCTCTTTGTCAGACATTGTCATTGTCCACTTTTCCACTGAGATGCAATTACCCATAACAATCGACAGCTGAACAGCGCCAGAGACTCCTTGATACTTGATGGAGCTTCCAGCATCAGCTGCGGGCTGCTCCTCTCACTGTTCCCATCTTTAACCCTCTGCCATTTTGATAGAAATTTCATTTTAAGCCTCCCATCTCCAGGCTCATTCCTGTCTGTACCTCTGTGTAAGTCTTCAGTTGACAAAGAGTCTCTGATGTGACACTCTGGAATGTGTACACTTTAATTAAGCTGCAAAAGATTCCAAATTTAAAGCAAAGAGTGCACAATATGTAATCGTATTTTGCCAACATTATAAACAAATATATTTTTCTTGGATCGCTTCGATGGAAAACAATGGAAAATGCCAAACAAAATTAATTTTGATATAATGCAAATGCTGCAGCTGCAGGAAACGCCCTTGGGGCTACCCTCTACTCCAGATGAGCGACTGATTTGTACCCTCTAGCTGATGATGGAAGGCATTTCTGGTTGTGGTTGTTGGTTCTCTTGGCAGCAGTTCTGCTGCGCGAGATGAGCTTTCTCCGAAGAGTGTGCTTTCGATGGTGGACCCTCGCTCTCTCGCTCTCTCGCTAGCTCGCTGTCAATGTCAATGTCAATGACGACGTCGAAATGGTAACACGTGCGGTCTGTGCAACCGGGGCGATCCCGTCCCTAACGGCAAACCGCACGAACTTCCTCCCTACCGTCATCGTCGGTAGCTGCTAGAACTACTTAGGTAACAGGTCGTAAAGGAAGTCCCACATCGGTATGATCTCACGTTGGCCAAGTTGCTTGGGCTGCAAAATGCAATGTAAAAGTCGAATACCTCTCATCCTCCGCTCATACTTACATCCGCTCTGTCGATGCCCAGCTGTTCGTATATCTCCATCATGGTCGAGGGCTTGTTCAGCTGTTGGAGCGCCCGAAGGATCACCATGCCATTGTGCTTGATTGCATTTTTGAATCCAGTTTGAATCCGGTTTGAATTTGTCTCCATGTTGCCAGCGATTTCGATTTGGATTTAGCAGAAATTATTACAAAAATTAAAACGATTTAGGAGCACAAAAGTGTTGTGTATTTAGCAGCAAAGGAAAACTGACTGAGCAACTGAGGGATTGGAAAACCAAAGCAAAAATCAAACTGGAAAACTAAAGGCTACTGGGGCTGCGTTGTGTATGTAATATGTATGTAAATATGTAAGTACATTTTATTATTCATTTATGCCACATTAGCAGATGCGCCCAAAGTGCAACAACAGCTTCCCCCCTCCGGCAGCAGCCCAGCTGAATTAATTGTTCAATTTCACACCCAATTAAATTGATAAGGCCAAGAGGGGCGACACGTGTGCTGGCCAGCGAAGCGAACTCGACGAAGAGTTCAACGCATTTGCGGCTGATAATGATGACACTAATGAGGAGCAGGGAAGGAAGCGGTGGATGATGTTGCTGGGGGTCATAGAAGGACGATGACGCCAACTGGCGTCCGTTAACAATTTCTGACGTCTTGATTTATAAATTCTCTGCTTCAGCCACCCCCTTCCACATTCCCCTCCAACACATTCTCAGTTTCCTCAGCCACTCTTCCCACCCACTTCCAATTCATTTATTTTTCTTTGGCGCTAGTTGTTGTTGCTCTTTTTGCTTCTATTCTTTTCTTTTGTTTCCTTTCTCTCTTTGAAATTTACGTTTGATCCCAAGCTTGGCGCAGGCAGATGGAGTGGAGTGAAGGGGAGGTGTGTGCGTCTGCCAAAATTTCGCCAGAGCTTTGGGGAGACCGTTGGGAGAGAGAGAGAGCTGCAGCTGAGAATACGAACGAAGAGAGTTCAAGCAACGCTGCGGCTGCTGCTGCTTCTGCTGCTGCTGCTGCTGCTGACGTCTCTTATGGTTCGATGCCATAAAATGTTATTACACACTTCAAAGTATATGTGCATGTGTGTGTCTGTGTGTTTGGGTGAAGTGTAAGCGTTAACCTGGGACCTGTGCTAGCCAGCAGCAAACAATTTTCGAATTTTTTTGAAGTGTGTCCAATAAATGCATCAAATGAAGCCGCTTAAAAACATCAAGCGCTGGAAATTTGTAAGAAAAACCAATAAAACAAGCTTCACACTTGCTTGAAATTGTGATTGATATAAGGGCATGATGGGCAGCTACAATCGGGGCAGCTGTAGCTTTAGCACTTTGACAGTGTCCATTGGTGGTTCTTTCAGCGGTGCTCAATGCCAAAGTGTCGATTGTTTTGATTAAACGTTAAGCTTTGATTTCTCCATAATCGTTTCGGCATCGCTCCCCGGGTTATGGCAACGCCTGGAGCAGTGTGCTGTACAAAGGACAGGCAGCTGGTAGGTGGTGGGGTCTGCCCTCGTATGGTTGGACCACCAGGAGGCGCCATTGTTTGTGAATTGACGCGTGCACTTTGGCGACCGTTGAACTTTGCCGTGGTGTCGTGCTGCCATCTGACGACGACTATGAGTATACGATGATGGGAGGACTCACGGGAAACGGTTTAGCATTTGCCAGTGACACTTGTAATTGCTCCATTTAGGCCACAAGGCAGCAAGCGCAATGTCCAGCGGTAACCGACTCAAAATCGATTATTTCTACATTTAGGAGCTACTCGCAGCGCTCGATAGTTGGGCCACAGTTTGTTGCTTTACTTAACTGAACGCGAGGCGCTTTGCCTGGTGCCTAACATGCAACATAATTAATTAACGCCATGTGGCAGCCAGCTCTCACATTCAAGGAGGCAACATGCGCTGCTCCGCTGCATGCGCCTGTAATAGCATTAAATGTGAGCGCAACTGCAACTCGCAGGTGCCTGTCGGTTAGAGGTCGCTGCACTCACTGCAGTGGGTCTGCCCTACATACGAAAATATTCCAAGCGTATTACGAATGGGGACTAATTGATTTGTCGCCAATTAAAGTCAGTCAGGTGCGTAAAAGGAAGGAGAAGAAGAAGGAGCAGGAACGTGTGGAAAAACATCGAAGCAGAGATTGTTCGCTATTTGCACTACTTTCCGAACGCAACATAAACCGTTCTTTCGTTTATACTTATATCCCGCCTTCTTAGTTGCTGCACTTCTCTCGCGCTCCAGCAGCTCCAAAGCTCTCTTTCGATCGCGCTCTCTCTCTCTCGCTCGCTTCAGCTACCAGCAGCGTCGAAGTGCCCGTGCCCTAACGGGAAATTCAGACCGTAGTCAGTCTGGAGCTCTTCTGCTTTCGCAGCGAACCTAACTGGATTTTTATAAAGTCAACAGCCACTGAAAAAGCTCAATGGCCTGCACATTTCGTTTGCCTGCAGCTTTGATCAGACTGTGGATAGAATGAGAGAGAAATAGCTTAAAAGCTCAAATACCATGATTGTGATTGTAATTGCTAATTTTAAGCGCCTTAACAGCATCACCATGGCGACATGAAGCGGTAAAGTCAGAACAGCAACGGGTCATACAAAAGCTCCGATCAGGCAGCGGCGCCTGCTGCTAAGCCTGCCAGGGGCAAGGCAACGAACCAACCAGAGGGGTACCCTGAGGGGTAATGTAAATCCACCCCCTTGGCTGTTGGTTGTCCTGGTGAAGCCCCCCTGCTACCGCCGTGGGTGCCACGACTGACCAAGAGCAACCCAAGCGAACCGAATCGGGTCGAAGCAAAGCGCAGAGCCAGGAGGCCAGGAGTTGGGGGTTGCCTGGCAACCTTATTCAATGAATTGTGCTGGCCTGGCCCAAACAAAGGCGTCGCAAGAGGAAGCAGCAACGGCAGCAGCTGGCGAGGGAAAACCACAACAAATGACACTGAGGAGGACAATGCAAATTGAATCGAAGGCAGCAGCAGCAGCAGCAGCAGCAGCACAGGTCAAGTCGTGGTCAGCGTCACGCGTTGCCAGCATATAGCACCAGGAATGTCCTTCAAGGATGTGCGCGGTGAGTCGCCACAAGAGCACCCCCGCCCCACCTTTGTCCATCCATCCACAACCTTTCCCTTTGTGTAGATCTCGGGGAGCAGCTGAAGCTGCTGGGCTTTCCGCGTGTCTTTCCGCTGCAATCGCTGGCCAATCAGCATGGCAGCCTCGCCAGCTTCCACATCGTCTCGGAGCTGCTGCAGTGGCTGGCTGGGCTCATGGAGCCCGGCACGGTGCTCTCCGGCGGCGTGGAGACGGAGGAGCAGCGTGTGCTGCTCGTGCGCTCTGCCACGGAGTTCTTTGTGACGAAATCGGCCATCAGGCTGAATCCCCGCAAGTTGTACGCCGCCGCCGCAGTCACCGCCAGCGAGCTGCAGAAGATTACGCGACTGCTGATTGCACCCAGCCAGACGGAGGCGGAGCGCGAGGAGGAGGAGCGCGACCCGTACCGCAGCCTCAACCAGGTGGACATTGGCGACAAGATGGAGGAGCTGCGACGCGCCCGCGAGCTCTCCGCGGATCTCACGCAGCGCGGCGCCGCCCTCTACGAGCTGCTGTCCAAGGAGCTGCTGCAGAAGGAGTCGCGCCAGACGCAGGCCCAGCGGCCCATGGAGCTGCTCGGCGTGGAGCGCACCCTCAAGAATGCCATCCAGGCCAGCCAGCTGAAGCTGCAGTCCAGCCGGGCCCAGCTGGAGGCTGGCCGCGTCGAGCTGAACGCCCTCAGCTCCAAGTTGCAGCGGAAGCGGGCCGAGCTGGAGCGGACCAAGCAGCGGCTGGAGGCGCTCCAGAAGATCCGACCCGCCCACATGGCCGAGTTCGAGGAGTGCGAGAAGGAGCTGCAGGCGCTCTTTCAGCGCTACTTTCTCCGCCTGCATGTCCGCGACGCCCTGCGCTCCCACCTGGAGGCGCGCACCAAGCGGGCCACGCCCATTGCCTCGCCCATCCTGCAGAAGCCAGCGGAGAATTCGATGCCCTTCATACCGGAGGGACTCATCGAGGACGATGACGACGACGATGACGAGGACGACGATCTCGATGGCGATGATGATGAGGATGTGGGCGGGGGCGGGGGCGGGAGCGGGGTCGGGGTTGGCGCCGGTGTGGAGATGGTCGTCAATGGCAGAAGCTTATTTGGGCTGGACGCCGAGATACCCGACATACGCGACGAGGATCAGCTGCTGCGGCAGGAGAAGCGACCCGGAACGGCCACCTCACGCCTCAGACCCACCACGGGACGCAGTCGCAAGGGCACAGGAACGGGCGCCAGAGCTGGCACAGGAGCGGGAGCAGGAGCAGGAGCAGGAGCAGCGCCATCCAGGGCCGCACACAACGGACGCAGTGTGCCCGGGAATAGCATGCTCAACTCGCGGGAGGACGACAGCAGCTTCGGCAGCTCCGACAGCGAGCTGGATGTGGGCGAGATCATGGGCATGAGTGGCATGGGCGCTGCCACAGGCGCCGCCATGGGCGCTGCCGACGATGATTGTGAGTGCATATATCCTTGCCCTTATCCCTTAACTAATTTCTTTCCACAGTTGATCTGAACTCGATCGATGACATCAGCATCTCGAAGCTGACGGGCGAACTGCCGCTGCGTCCGAAGACGGCCAACAAGGCGGAGCATCACAGCGATGAGGATTTCTAGAGACCATTAAGCCATTAAGCGCGGGTGCTATTTTTCTACCATTTGTATAGGGATTATGCCTGCCTGTGTATATCCAGAATTAAAATAAAGGTGTCCATTTCCTCACCCACAAAGTGTGTCCGCTATTAATTTGAATTTCTGTTGGTATATTATTTGGTATCTTCTTGGTATCTATTCATCGATATGCAACTTTGGCATGTATCGATATGTGCAACTATCGAGTGTCACGCATTGGAGAACAACATGCAGACTGAAGTTGGTTTATATAACTTTATTTAACGCTTTATATACACACAAGTACATATGTACCACATATATATGCATATGTATATAAAGATGAAGTGCTTAACGCTAATACGGGAACGGGAAAGGGGACAAAAGTTTGTTAATGGAAAGTTCCAAATGAAAACTTTTTAGCGCTGAAGGCAGGCGGCTCCTTCCTCGGCCAGCGACTACGCATATATGTACAAAGAAGATAGAGGAGGGGACTCCCCTCACATCACCACATCGCGACAGACAATCTTCGTCTTGGAGGAGGCGCGCTGCCCGCCACCGTACAGTTCCGAGGACGCCGACGAGGAGTAATCGATGTGACTGCCGGCCTGTGACTGCTCCTGGCGGGCCAGAAAGCTGTCAGCTATGGCCCGATCGAGGCCCGTGTACTGAAAGTTGGCCGATCCCTCGAGCACATCCGCCTCGGACTTGCGTCGCTGGCGGCGATTGGCATCCGATTTGCCTGCCCGGCGGCGCCTGCGCTGGCCATTCAGCTCCGCGGACTTGGTGCTCTTGTGGGTGCGGTAGGTGCCGCTCAGGCTGGCCGGATGGGCGTAGATCACGGAACCACCGGGTCCAGGTCGCATGTACGGCAGCGTCATGCCCCGATAGTGCCCCGCCAGCGGAGGCACCGGCAACAGCAGACCCGCTCCAGTGCCAGGTGGTGGTGGGGGCAGGCGTGTTGGCGGCGGCGGTGGCAGCTGAAGGGAAAACAGTTATAACCAGAGGCAGAGTTTGATGCATTGCAGGAGCAACTTACGCCACTTCCAGCGGCGGAGGGAATGAGCATTATGGGACGGGAGGGAGGCGTCAGCTTGCGCACCGAAGGAGGCGGCAGACTACCCATCTGCGTGGCATACATCCACATGGCCGCCAGCTTCTCGGTGTTGGCCTGCAAATGAACAACAAATCGTGCAAAACGGTTAGAAAAGTCAACTGAAACTGCCTCCCGAGAGTTTGCACCTTTTCACTGCCATTGAGGGACATGGCCTTGATGTACTGGTCCACCTTTTGTTGATCCAGGGCTATGCCCGAGGCCTTCGACTTGATGATTACGTCGCGTAGCTCACTGTGCTCCGATCTGCAATAAGAGAGAAAATAAATTCAAACAAATTGTAAATTCAAATTCCGTCAAGAACTATGCAACACCAAACACCATGACGTTTTCCAGCACCGTTTGGTTTTTGCTTTATGTTGAGGGAAAGTATTTACAGTTTATAAAAATTCTTATTTAAAAAGCAATCAATTAAAAGAAAGTCCTGAAAACTAATCGATTTCGTGGGAAATTAACTCAGCAATCTGATAAAATTGTTCATGTAGGACTGAGAGTCAAAGCTTGCCAGTAATATTAAACAGAATATCAAAATGGAGAAAAATGATCTCCGATCAGCCTAGAACTTTATCCCATTGTCGACCAGAAGTCCAACTGGTAAAGCGTTCAGGTGAAACACTTGGTGGTAATATTTTGTTTTAAGATAAAGAGAAAGCATGGATCTACAAGATAAATGTACCAAATAATAACATTGAGGGCAGTTTAACTCAAGGTTTTCATCTGTTTAACTAGCGGTGGATTAATTCTGCTAAACTGGATTTTTCCTCAGTATATTTCGGTATATTTATATTTGGGGCATATTTGATCGAAAAAGTCCGCGGTCACACTGACATTCTAATCGATTTATTTTACTGGCAAAAATAGAAAATAGAAAAATAACTCCAACTTGTCACCGAATGTAAGAGCCGTTCCACTGCATGTAGGTAGTGCTGTGTGGCGGTAACCGCATCCACTGCAGCCCCCATCGCGCTGACACACTAATCTAATTCGCAGTCACTCGAAAAACCAACAAAAACAACGCAAGCTCGCCACGTCAGTGGGAGTGAGCGAGAACGCAACTGAAACACCACCACCCGCCCCCCTTCCCCATTCTCCAGGGGCAGTAGGACACGGAGAGGTTCGAGCAGAACACAACAAAGTGAAGCAGCGACGAGCCAGTAGCCAGCAGCCAGCAGCCACCAGCCACCAGCCAGCATGTTCAGCAACTTCAAGGAACGCTTCATGACGGCTCTGGCGCCCGATCTGCCACCGCTGCCGAGCAGCGAGCGCAGCGACCATCATCATCGTCGGTTCGGTAACCAGCAGATGCCGGACAAGTTCCCATATGCCCGACCCCCGTTCCTGCAGCTGCTCACCGTCGACGAGCTGCGCGCCTCCGCGGACCACAATGTGCGCCCGATTATCGTGCCGCGGGACATCAATCTGCTGCCATGGGGCACTGGCTATGCCGAGTGTGTCAATTCGGGCAAGTCCGAGTGGAACGAGGACCAGGGCGCCTTCTGCCGGTGAGTCACGCGACCCTCTGCCTGTCTGTGAGTCATCAAATGAGCTCTTACCCCTTTTTCAGGCGAGTTCTGTCCGATCCGGAGCACAAGCATCCCGATCTGCCGTACACGTACTTTGGCATCTTCGATGGCCATGCCGGGTATGGGGCCGCACTGGCCGCCTCCCATCAGTTCCATCACATACTGCACGAGACGCTGGTGGACTGCATTGAGCTGCTGCTGCCGCGCGACACGGAGGGCGGCGAGAATGGGCGCTTGAATCCGACATTCCCGCATCCCATTTACTTTCAGCGGCGCGTGAGCAAGGACGAGCTGATCATTGGCGCTTTGGAGAGCGCCTTCTTTAGCATGGACTCGCTGATAGCGCAGGACAGCAATCGGTATCGCGATGCGGGCGGCTGCACCGCCTGCGTCTCGCTCTTCATCGATGGCAAAATGTACGTGGCGAATGCGGGCGACAGTCGGGCCGTGCTGTGCCAGCGACGGGCCAATGCGCCGGCTGAGCCGAAGAACGATTCTGTGATCGAGCCGGACCCGCTGGAGGCGACCTGCTATCCAGTGCCCTTCTCGGCGGACCACACACCGGAGACGGAGCGCGAGCGGCTGCTGAATGTGGCCAGGCTGAAGCCGCATCTGATGGCCAATCAGTATGTGGCCATGGAGTATGCCAAGCGGCCGCATATCAAGGACATGGGCCAGCGCATCCTGTGTCGCCAGGGCACCATGAAAGGCTGGACCTACAAGACGCTTACGCGCGACGATCTCCGCATGCCCGTGGTCAATGGGGAGGGCAAGAGGAGCCGTCTCCTGGGCACCCTGGGCGTCTCCCGGGGCTTTGGCGACCACGAACTGCTAGCCATTAACACGGGCATCCAGATCAAACCATTCCTTACACCCCACCCCGATGTGCGGCAGCGGGATCTCACCCAGGTGGTGAGCATCCCCGATGAGCACAATCAGGACGGTGACTACGGTGTGCTCGTGATGGCCACCGATGGCCTCTGGGATGTCTCCGAGAACGAGGCCGTCTCCCGCACCGTCTTCCAAACGCTCTCCAAGTACCCAACCGAAAAGCATCGCTACACCATGGTCGCCCAGGAGCTGGTGGCCCGTGCCCGTGGCAAGATCAACGACTCGGGCCACTGGCGCCTGGCGGACAGCAAGGCGGCGGCCACCGTCGATGACATTTCGGTGATTGTCATACCCGTCTATCAGTATTACCAGGAGCACATCGAATGGACGCAGAACTACACGCGCGATCTCGAGAAGCGACGCCGCCAGGCGCAGGCCAACATGGCCCAAGAGGCGCAGGAGGTGAGCGTGCTCAATGGCGGGGTCATGGCCGAGGAAGCGCACGTCGAGGAGGAGGAGGAGGAGGACGGCGAAGTGGTGGTGCTCGAGGCCAAGGCACAAATACAAACAGAGCCACAGGCGCAGCCACATGCCGAGGCAGAGGAAGCTTTGGTCGTAGAGATTAGTGCACCCGTGGAACAGGCTCCACAGCAGCAAGCCACGAGCACTGCGGGTGAGGAATTTACATAGATTTTGTAAGCTTTTGAATGACTGCTTACACTCTCATCTTTTTTTGCAGCTGATGTAGCTGCAGCTGAGTCGCAGAAGGACAGTGCCGCCGTCACACAGCAGCAGCCACAGTCACAGCCACAGCCACAGTCTTCGCAGCAACGCAGTCGTGGCAAGGGCAACAAGGGCAAGCATTATTCAAATGTTAACTGAAACAGCGACACAGTGATGCAGTACGGCAGTTGGCAGATATATTTTTGTACACTCCATTCAAGAACATTCAAATTGAATACATAATTTTGCATATGTACCGGCAGAGGCAGCAGAGAGATTGTGGATGGGCATGGCTAACTTTGCTAAATGTATTTATTTATTTTCGATCCCCCAGAAGATTAATTCAGATTCAATTAAATCAAAGATGATTCAAAAAAATCAGTTGAAAGCAAATAAAAACAAAATGATAAATTAATTAGTACGTTAAGAAGCTGCATAATAACGATAACAATAAATTAAAATAACATAAAATAAAATATATTATATACACACATAAAAATCATCATCAAATTGAATGTTAAAAGCAGAATAATATTGTGCAAAAGGGTGGCCTGCGTGCGTTTCAACGTTAAATAAATGTTCCAGAAAATAATGTTTAGCACATGATTCAAAGATGTTGTTGTGGTTGAGCCAAGGGCAAACAAACCACTGACTACGAGCAAAGTCTTGAGCGGAGTCAGCAGCCACACAAATCACTCAGGAGTAATCTAAAATGATAAGAAAACCAACAGGCTGGCGATAAGCTGTAAGCTGTGGTATTAATCATTCACGTTTGAATTCGTATTTTTGTGCCAGATCAAAACAATTCAGAACTTTGAATTTTTATTCGGTTTTGTTTTTTGTTTTTTGATGAATCAACTTTACAATACAATTTCAGAATCGTTCGATTTCGATTACAATTAAAAGAGTTTTTTTTTTTGCTCACTTAAATGTTCTTTTTTTTTTTTGCTCAAGAATTTCGTTTGTGTTTTTTGTTTTATCTTTTCTTATGTAGTTCTGGAAGCTGTAAAAATCTACTAAGAAAATATATGTATGTAGCATCCATATATACTATATAATTTGTATTTGCATTTGTATATATCTTGTGTTTTTTTTTTTTTAATGTATTTTTTCTATTAGAACTTTGTCAGAGGTACAGGATCAGGATGAACTCTTGTGATTGTTTTTCGGGGTAGTGGTGAGAATGTGTGGTGGTGTCTGGTGGCAGCTATTAAACCACCGAGCGTAGTAGCTGTCCGTACAACCAATGCTTTGTATCTATCTCTGTCTTTGCCTGTCCTAGCTGTCTGTCCTCGTCTAATTTGTGTGTTCGTGTGTGCACAGCATTTCTTTTAACAAAAAGTGTTAGTGGCCTATGATACGCATCATCATTCACATTCGTGATCAAAACAACTTTATTTTCAGCTTTCCCTTCTCCTTCTTCTTCTTCTTCTTCTAGTTCCTGTTGCTACCCCCCCCCCCACCCTAGTTCAGCTAGCTAATGTCCATGGCTTTGGCTCTAACAATTTGTTTCAAGTTTTAACTAATATTTTCTATGGTTTTTGGTGTATATGCAATTATTGTTATTGTTGTTAGCAGTAAGTTCAGTGAGTGGCACAGCGCATAAAATCTTATTTAAAACAAATACACACACACACACACACACATGCAGGCACACACACATACACACTTTCCGCACTGCTTTTAAGTGTACATTTAATGTATGTAAATATGTAAATATGTATGTACGTGCATGTACTTGCACTATGTATAACATTATGTGTATATAGTTGGACTGGAAGCAGACTGTCCTCAGTTTGGAAACACATCTAATTGTTTATCTCTTTTTTTAAACTTTAATCATTTATTTTTGTAACTTTATCTTAGGGTTTTCCCAACGTTTTTACACTGCTTGAATTGAATTTGCTAACAAACTTGCGAAGATAAATTGCGGCTTATAAAATCACAAATTTGTTTGTTGTCTTGGCAAACAAGTACTACGTATGTATAACTTTGTATATCTGTGGGGGATACCTTAGCATTTGTGCTACATGTAAAAAGCACATTCCGTGATTGACTTGAACAGATAAAGTTCTGCCAGATCTGAGACGATGCATAGCACTATTTTGTATGCTTTGGGTACCGCAGGAAGACGACAGACAATCGAAGCACTCAAGCAGTTGCAGTTGAAGCGCCGGCCGTGCCGCGTATTTATTAAATATTTACAGAGCAGACGGCACAGACTTCAAGGCAGTTGAAAGTGAAAATTCTGAGTTGCGCAATCGAACATTAAATGACAGCTAAGCATATGTAAATTGTTTGATGTATATATAATTCTAGATCATGTTAGCTAGCGTCTGGCGATCACAATCATAATAATAATACATAATACATAATAATAATGTACATTTACATTCAGCAAACAAATGACTGAAAAGTGGCTCTGTCCTCCAGCTGAGACAGCTTTTCACGTTGTCTTGATAATGATCAATGAACAAAGGGAGTCGAAGCACGCAGCAATCGAATACAATTACTAAGCCCCACTGATGCTACTCCACCAACATCTGAGCTGTACAGTCTGTACATATGTGTACATAAATGTATATGTATAATTGTTTGTAAGTAGTTTTTAGGTCTTTGTGCGAAATTGACATTCCAAGTAGAACGTACGTACGTTCCTTCAGTTTGCGCTTTTAGGCTGCAAGGCTTGGACTTGGCTTTACAAATATTTATTTGCCATTTGCTTAAATGGGTTTCCTATCTTTTTGTGTGTAGTTATTAATTAGATGTAGGAAAAGGTTTGGGATTTACCAGCCTTTTCTTTTGCGTTTTCACAAATGTTTCTCATGTTTGGATTTTTGTTTTCATTTTTAATTAATTATTTAAACAACAGTAACATGGTGATGTTGGAAAAATTTAGCTACGATTAATTTAGTTACAAATATGTTTTAGGCTTTTCTTAGGCGTCGGTGCGTGTGTGCGTGTGTGTGTGTGGGGAGGGGTTTTGTTATGTAAACAGAGTTACATTGTACATATGTACAATATGTAGTTTAATTATAGCGCTGCAGGTAGTTACACTTTAAGAAGCCATTGGCACAGCAGTTGCAACCTTCCAACCTCGTTCATGATCGGTTTTTCCTTTATATATATAATTTGTAGTTACATTTATATTAAATAAATAATTAACACTTTTAGTCAAAATACTTTTCGAGTCTCTAGACCAGCCGCAGCTTGGCGCTGCGACACCGTTGACGTTGATTTATGGCATACCCGTGGGCATAGCCATTCCCATGCTTATTTCCATTTAAACTCCAATTGCTATGCCCATTCCGATGCGCATTGTCATTCCCGTTGCCCAGGCGACGTGGAAGTGCACAGCAATGGATCAAAATACTATAAATGGTGAAGACTAAACGTATTAGCTGCCTCTTGGCCTGTCGTCGTGGGCACCACGATGCGGCCCAGGATTAGGAATGCAAATTGGCACGATCCTTGGCGCGTCTTTTGGCCAGCATCGACAGCTCCACGGGGCCCACATTGGCCGCCTGCGGTATGGCAATGGCCCGGAATGTCGCATCCACAGCGCCGCGCAACGCCATCGAAATGTGATTCTGCTGCTGCTGCTGTGCCCCGAGCGACAGTTGTGGCAGTGCCGTGGTGGCATACTCCGTCAGCTCCACACTGCCCGCAAACTGATCCCGCACCCAGCTGTGCTCCAGGATCTGCGCCACTGTCGGTCGATTCTCCGGCACTATGTGCAGCATCTGGCGCAGCAGCTCCTTCACCGGCGCACTGATCAACGCCCAGCGGCTGCTGCTGAAGTCAATGTGCCCGGAGCCAATCCGCTTCAGTATCACCTCCGGCGAGTCGTTGGGCGTGCTGGCAAATGGCGTGCGGCCCGACAGCATTATGTAGAGCAGCACACCCAGCGACCAAATGTCACAGGCCAGATCGTAGCCCTGCCGCTTGAGCACCTCGGGAGCGACAAAGTTTGCCGTGTAGCAGGGCGTCATCAGCAGCCCATTGTCCGCTCGCAGCTGCTTGGCGAAGCCTAAAACAAGAACAGTCTTAGCCGTGGTCCTGGCTTCACGTCTCGTGCCACAACTCACCTAAATCGCAGAGCTTGAGGGTCTCCGGTGTCTGCCGCATGCTGGCGTAAATCATATTCGAGGGCTTGAGATCCCGATGGACGACCCCATGCTCGTGCAGGTAGGCCACCGCCGATGAGATGGTGCGCAGCACAGCACTGGCCTCGCTCTCGCACATCTGGCCGACGGCTAGGATGCGATCGAGCAGCTCCCCGCCCTTGAGCAGCTCCATCACGAGGTAGGCGGAGCTCGCATCCTCGTACACCGAGTAGAGGGTGACAATATTCGGATGGTTGCCATAGCGCAGCATTATTTCCACCTCCTCCCAGCAATCGGCGGACGTGGAGGCGGCCGAGGCGGCTGCCACCGCCGCCTTCTCGATAATCTTCACCGCGTAATGCTTCTTGGAGGCGCGATGCTCGCACAGTCGGCACACGGAGAAGGTGCCGCGTCCCAGCTCCTGCAGCAGATTGTATTCCGCATGGAAGTTGCCCGGCAGCACGCCCGGCAGGCTACGCGGCGCTGCGCCCGTTGTCATCGTGGTTGTCAGCGAGGAGGAGGAGGTGGCACTCGCCAGCGTTCCAGCCGAGCCCATGCCCATGCCAATTCCTGTGGCTGTCGCGTACAGCGGACTGGCGCAGCTCGAACAGGTGTGCGAGTTGGGCGTGCCGCGTGCCTCCAGCAGCACGGGCGCCACAAAGCTAAAGCCGCGAAAGATCTCGTGGGCCGAGGCCGAGATGGGTCCCCCGGGTGAGTCCCGCGGCGACTTTGACGTGTACTCCACATCGAAGTAGAAGGCATCGTCCCGACTGACGGCAGGAATGAAGGGCGGACGCACCTGCTTCCGCTCCAGTCGCACCCAATCGATGGTCGCAAAGAAACAATGGGCCTTGATGTCCAGAATGCCCTGCGAGCCAGCGCCCAGCCGGTTCTGTGGATTGCGCTTGAACAGCGCCCGCAGCAGGGACTGCGCCTCCGGCGACAGGTTCTCGGGCATGCCCAGCTTTGAGCGCAGAATCTGATTCATGGTCTCCTGGCGCGTCTGGCCGTGAAATGGCAGATTCCCCGTCAGCATTTCGTACATGAGAACGCCGAAGGACCACCAATCGGCGGCAAAGTCGTGCCCCTTGCGATTGACAATCTCCGGGGCCATGTACTCGACGGTGCCGCAGAAGCTGTACGTCTTGGAGCCATCGAGTGGCTGCTTGGAGAGCCCAAAGTCCGTGAGCGCGATGTGTCCGTGCTCGTCCAGCAGAATATTCTCGGGCTTGAGGTCGCGATAGATGATGCCCAGCGTGTGCAGATGATTCATGGCCAGGGCCAGCTCGGCCAGATAGAACTTGACATCCTCCTCGGTGAACATGACCTCCTTGGACAGGCGCGTGAACAGATCCCCGCCGCGCAGAAAGTCCAGTATCAGGTAGAGCTTGCCGGGCGTCTGGAAGGCATAGTGCAGCCGCACAATGAACGCGTGGCCCACATCGGCCAGGATCTTGCGCTCGTTGGTGCTGCGCACGCGATCCTTCACCTTTAGCGTGGCCTTCTTGAGCACCTTCATCGCGTACAGCGTGCCCGCATCCTTGCCAATGATCTTGCGCACAAGGAACACCTTCCCGAAGCTGCCCTCGCCGAGCACGCGCAGCAGCTCGAACTGCGAGGGATCCGCCTTGTCGTGCCCCTCCTTGACCACTTCGCGCAGCTCGAATTCGTTCTCGCATTCCCCGCCACTGCCTGGCGCCCCACTGCCTCCGCCATACGAGTGCTCCGAGTCGCTGAGCTCCATTTGCTCCGGTGGTGGGCATAACGTCTCCGCGTCTCCTGTTGCTGCTTCCTCTGTCGCTTTTGTGGCGCCGCCTTTTGCTGTTGTTCCTAATCCTGCTGCTCCGCCTGCTGCTGCTGCTGTTGTTGTTGTGGGTGAAATGTGATGCTGTTCGAGTGCCGCTTGTAGTGCCGATTGCTGCACCTGTTGCAGCTGCTGCCGTCGCTGCGATGACGTCACCGTTGTCACGGGTCCACTCTCCTCATCGGTGGGCGTATGCTCCATGGGTGTAACCGCCAGGCTGCTGCACCCCGAGGATGTGATCTGCATGCGCTGCCGCAGCTGCAGTCCCATGCCTGTGACGCCACTGCCGTTGCCGCCGCTGCCATTGCCGCCGCTGGGGCTGCCAGCATGTGACGCATTATCCAGTGGGGGGGCGGCTGTCGGGGCTACATTGTTGTTGGGTTGCTGCTGCTGTTGCTGCTGCTGCAACTGCAAATGCTGCAACTGCTGCTGCTGCTGTCGTAGATCCTTGTTGGAGTCAGCCAGTGGCATGACTGTCGCTGTCCCTGCCCAACTGGCGTTCGACTCTGCAGACACGTTCGCTGGCGTCTTGGGGCCTTTTTTTCTCTCTCTGCAAACTTTCGCTTTTCCCTCACAAATATTCCTCTATGAATGTATTTTGCTATCTTCTATCGTTTAACTATTTGTTTTTTTTTTCGTTGCTTTAAGTTTTTTTTTTCTCTTTTTTTTATTACTTCCGTTGCGTTTGCTGCGACGACGACGACGACGACAGCGACGACGACTGTTTGAGTGGGAGCAGCAGCATTAGGCGGACACACACACACGCGCACACTGACGCACAAGCACACACACAGCGAGCGAGAGCGAGGTAGTTGGTTAAATGGGGTGGCAGTGAAAGAGAGAGAGAGAGAGAGAGTGATATAGAAAGAGGTTGGAGGAAGCGTAGGCGCGAGCTCTGCCCACTGCTCGCGTCTCTGCTGAATGCTCTGTTTGGTGCTGTTGCTTTTTTCTTCTTTTCTTTTTTTTTTCTTTTGCTATTCTGCACTTAATTTCACTGGAAATCCTCTTAATCCTGTTGGTTTTTTTGGCTCTTGTTGGTTTGCTCTGTCATGTGGCTGTTGTTTTTGTGTTTTGGTTCTTATCACTATATTTACACAATTAATTTAGCGATTTTTTGTTTGTTGGTATTTAATCGCTACAGCGAAATTGGATGGGGATGGTCGCACGACGATGAGTCCGCATTGACCAGGTACTTCAGTTCGATGATGGGGCTGTCGATATTTTCTTGACTATCGATGGCAATGTTCTTGTGACCGGGTATCCAGTGCACAATAAAGTTGCTCGTGAAGGAATTGTCCATGTTGAGGTGGATATCGTCTGTTAAGTATGAATTTGATTCATTGCTCTTCAGAACATTTAAGGAGCCTTGGCTATCACAAAGAATTACAGTTATACTGTATATTTTTATATTAGATATCTTTGCGGCCGTCAATACTGCGTTAATCATACAGATGAGGAACCTTTTATCATATTTAACTATAGCCATTGTTTCTAGGGTAATCTAGGATACCTGCACTATTTCCACCATCGATGGTGGCCCTTATCGATGTTTTCCAAGCCCGAGTTTCCTGCGGAACTATCGATAAAGTATACCCGCCACAGCCACAGAAATATACCGAAATAAAGAGTGGCACTTTTCAAAATATACAACAAATATACCGATATCGACAGTAGCGAATTCGAGGCACACTCCGCATATCACACAATTGTGTGGCTTAGTTTTGTTATGTGTATGCAACTTGTTGTGTATGCAACTATGTTTGTATGTGCAACTTAATTTAACCGTTTCAGTCACAGCTTTGCCAGGAAGAGCTAATGCACTAGCGCCTCGTATGGCTGCTTATAAGCTGTGACCAAAAGGTGGCGCAATGTGCGCTATCGGATTGCTGCCGCGCTTAAATTCAAATTCAAATTCAAATCATAAAATAAAAACTCCACTTACTTGGTGCAAATCTGCAAGGCACAACGGTAGACAGACACAATGCTGACCACAAAGTGTAAAAACAAGGTGAATATCAAGCCACAGGCAGCGGAAACTTCACTATTGGCATTCATCAGGTCGAACTGTGGGGGGCGAAAATAATTAATTTGCATTCAACGCATGAAACGTAGATGGCGCCACTCACCTGCTCGCCCTTCTGCTCGGCCATGCGGTTGAGATCCCGCGAGAGGCCCACGCCCGAAATGGCCAGCGCCAGCGTGCTGCTGGCAATGCAGACCAAACTGAGAGCCAGAAATGCCGTCTGCGTCTTCCGCATGCTGACCACGCCCAGGGATCCAGTGACGGCCGCAATCAGGCCCGTCCAGACGCCACAGCCGGCCATCGACAGGGCCGCCTCGCGCACAATCAGCAGCGAGCCAAGCGCCACCAGGGAGATGGCCAGAACGAGCTGCAACGTTCCGAGCACGATCTGGAGCGGGAAGGCCGAGCAGCATTCATTGCTTGCCCGTCGCTTGCGTCGCGCCTTTGCCGACAGCGTGGAGCTGGCACTGCCGCCGCCATCGCTGCCCCCGGACCCACCCTTGTACTTGATGAACTCCGGCGGGCAGCGCTGCTTCTTGCTGATCCGCGAATCGATGGTGTTGGCGTTGAGAGTTGCCGCCTGATTGGCCGACGGATGTCGCGTGGCCATGGCCTCCTCCAGCTGCTGCTTGAATTCCTGATGCGAAATGAGTTTCGGCTTCTTGGCCTCGTCCAGGCTCTGGCTGTTGGTCTTGGCCTGGGCCGCATCCATATCCATGGCAGCGGCGAGCAGCGAGGCGCCCGACAGCTTCAATGGCTGCGGCTTCTCATCGTACACGGGGCTTGAATAGATGTGACTCTGGGCATCCTGTCGTGCCTGCTCCTGCTCCTGCTGCTGCTGCTGCTGCTGTTCTCGCTGCAGAATGCCAATCTGTGAGTTGGTCAAGCTGCCGCTTGCCCCCATGTGGCTGTTGCTGGTGTTGGTGCTCTGCTCGATGTTGCTGCTGGCCACCTGCAGCAGCTCCTCGCGGTTCAGGCTGCGATCCACAATGGTGTCCATGCTGCCCGTGGTGGAGTCGTGCGAGTCAATGGTGCGTGCCGGCGAGGCCGAGTGGCGGCCATTGAAATCAGCGACCGGGCCAGAGCCTCCCACCTGCTGGCTGCTTGTCTCTGTCATCTCTGCTCTCTCGGGCTCTTCGCGCGCTAAGGATGCTGGGCTTGGGCTAAGGCTGCTGATGAGCGTGTCACTGGGTCATCGACAAGCTGCGGAGATGCAGAGATCCAAATTCATTTCATATTCATATAAATGCTGAAGTTAATGTCTAAAAGCAAACAGTTCCACTGCCAAACGTAGACGCAGGGGCACTTGGGAACTGTATTTGCCACTATCAATTTGCCATATCAAATGCCAGGCAATGAAGTGACTTGCCCCTCCAATGGATATCGAAACGAGCCGCAAATCGAGCCACGAACCGATCCTCACCGCACCCCACACTCGTCTCAAGTGCGCGCTTGGCAGTTGCCTTTTGAGCCTGTGTTTGATTTTGTTTTGTTTTCTGTTTGGGGCTTGAGTTTTGGGTTTATCTTTTTGCTTAATTGCCAGCCAAGTGCGAACCGGTCCAGTCCGGTCTGGGGTCTCAGAACAATGACAGAGCCAGGCACGGGCAAATGTCAAGGCAGACAAATTGGGGGGGTGTCGGACGGGCAAGCAGAAGCATTTTTTTGGCATATTTGTGCGACGAATTTGTGCCTCGTTTGTAGATCAATCAAGGAGATCAATTATATCGATCCCAACGAGCGCCTTTCCAATTTGTTTAAGCCACTTTGGCCACGAACCTGCTCTGGGCAGCGGCAAATCGAATCTCGAGCCACAAAAGCAAACAGAAGCGGAAATTAATCCACAAAAATATATATAAATAAATACAATTTTGAGCTTTCAATATTGAGTAATTTTGGCATAATCTGATCTGAAATTTCCATAGCTCGAAACAATCGTTGGGAGCCAAAACACCAAATGGAAGTCATGGCAGCAAGCCACACAAAACTTTTGCTGGCAAGTTGGCATTTAGTGAATAGTTTTACGTTTTCCCAGTTGCTGTTTTGGCTTAAAGCTTTCCACTGTCCACTGGCACTTTTCATTTTCTTTTACATTTTTGAGTGCTGTCTGTTGTCGCCTCATAATTAACACTTGGACAGAGCCACTCGCTCTTCAATTAACACAGGAAAAACGCTTGGCTGTTGTGCCTGTCGTCGGTGACTGCCTTTCCCACACTCTTGTGGCCTGCCCAGCTGTCGTTTCACTCAAGCGAAAACCACAACAAAATCGACACTTGCGCCAATTTCGTGCATAAATATTAGACACTGAAAGTGCGGGGACTGAGAGAGAAATCGGGAAAGGGAAAGGGCAAGGGCAGGAGCCAAAAATGGTGGCCCCAGTAGCCTTTACGTTTCCAGTTTGATTCATACACAACACAACACACAACACAATTTTTGTAATAATTTCTGCTAAATCGAAATCGAAATCGCTGGCAACATGGAGACAAATTCAAACCGGATTCAAACTGGATTCAAAAATGCAATCAAGCACAATGGCATGGTGATCCTTCGGGCGCTCCAACAGCTGAACAAGCCCTCGACCATGATGGAGATATACGTACAGCTGGGCATCGACAGAGCGGATGTAAGTATGAGCGGAGGATGAGAGGTATTCGACTTTTACATTGCATTTTGCAGCCCAAGCAACTTGGCCAACGTGAGATCATACCGATGTGGGACTTCCTTTACGACCTGTTACCTAAGTAGTTCTAGCAGCTACCGACGATGACGGTAGGGAGGAAGTTCGTGCGGTTTGCCGTTAGGGACGGGATCGCCCCGGTTGCACAGACCGCACGTGTTACCATTTCGACGTCGTCATTGACATTGACATTGACAGCGAGCTAGCGAGAGAGCGAGAGAGCGAGGTTCCACCATCGAAAGCACACTCTTCGGGGAAAGCTCATCTCGCGCAGCAGAACTGCTGCCAAGAGAACCAACAACCACAACCAGAAATGCCTTCCATCATCAGCTAGAGGGTACAAATCAGTCGCTCATCTGGAGTAGAGGGTAGCCCCAAGGGCGTTTCCTGCAGCTGCAGCATTTGCATTATATCAAAATTAATTTTGTTTGGCATTTTCCATTGTTTTCTATCCATGCGATCCAAGAAAAATATATTTGTTTGTGCACTCTTTTGTTTGAAACGGAAATAAAATGATGACTGTCCAGCTGCAAAGAGCAACCGCAATTATGCGGTGGAATGCTTGGAGCGAGAGAGCGAGAGAGCGAGAGCTTTGCAGGCGATTGGGAGAGGAAGTACCGCAACGAGCCGAAGGAAGCCACAGCACTACTCTTCTCTCTTCTCTCTTCTCTCTTCTCTCTTTCACTCTCTTTATCTGCATGTAAAGAGTGCCCCAAAACACTTTCACTTGGCTGTGGCTGGCTCCCTGCCGCCTCGCCTGATTCGTGTTTTCGATTCGGCCTTTGCCCAACTATTTTTGTTGGTTTAATTATTTTAATTTGTTAATTGACGCTCCAACATGGAGTTGGATATAGATACGAGTAGCTGTAGGATTTCCTCATACTATCATCGAACAGCGGAACCAAAAACCCAGACCGAAATCCAAGCTAAAATTACACTTTTTCGAAATGTTTTACACGTTGCCAGTCGGCTAGCGGCTATCGGCTATCGACTGTCTTCTGTCTGTGGCATGCGCCATGGAGGTACGTGGTCGTGGCATTGGGCAATCTGCAAATCCCAGCAATTTGATTAGCTAATTATTTACCGACTTGCATTCGCGTTTGGCTTTGGGTTTGGGTTTCGTTTTTGTATTTCATTAGCTAGCCACGCCCCCTGCCCCAACACTTAACGGGAAAATTTGTAAATTATAAATTTTGATCAAAGTTATGACAGCTTTTCAGCTTCAAAAAGGGGAATGGAATGGGCTGGATTGGAATGTGTGCGTGTGTGTGTGTGTGTGTGTTGGCTTAAATTATGCATTGAGGCAGGCAGACAGACCGAGAGGCAATTTTGTTCGCCAGCTGCGACGACAGGCGGCTGCCTCTTTGGAAATGAAATTGTAATTTCTTGGGCTACGATAATGGGCTTCAACATGGGTTGCAACACAGCAGCAGTGGGCTCCCCCAATACCAGAGCGAGGCATAGCCAGGGAATGCAAGAGAATTTCGGTAAGGAACGAGCCTGAGATTTGGCCATTTGGCGTTTATAGAAATGTTATCTAATTGTTGCAATTATGCCCCATCCCAGTGGAACCCACAATCGAGTGGCATAATGTGGCAGCAGCAGGTGTTATTTTTGGGGGCAAACCAAAAATCAAATGTTTTGTGGCATGGGAAAACTCCCACAACATTGACGGGGTGACTGAGTGGCTGAGTGGCTGACTGACTGACTGACTGGCTGGCTGAGTGCCTGACTCTGATGGTTATAGACGAACACACGACACGAGATCAGTGGGGAGTGAATGCAGTTTCTTGACTATGACGATGGTGTTGCTTGAGTGCCACTGCCAGTGCTTCCTGCTGAGGTTTTCTTTGCTCTTTGTTGCCGCTGTTCCTGCTCTTACATCTACTCCAATATGTACACACATATATGCATGTATTTATGTACTGATCAAATGTAATGCATGTCTGGTGTAGTGGCTGGTAATTAAAGATCATCGCCTGCCGTGACAGCTGGGGACACATTAAAATATCAAAAGAGCACGTGCAACAGACAACAACAAAATAACTGTGAAATGTGACACTGCAACAAGTTGCAACACTTGAGTTGCCATTGTATAGCGTCTAATGTTGCATCATTCTCATCAGCATCATCATGTGCCAGCAAGCAGCAAGACGACAGCAGGGAAATTACCCACAGTTGGGCGTGGAGTGAGTGCATGTGCACCCCAGGGGGGGGCGGGGTGGTGTGAGCAATTCGCTTGACAACCGTTTCAGCAAATTGCGCTCCACATGCCAATAAGAGCAAGAACAACAGCAACCAGCAAAAATAAGTCTTACGATTGCTGCATGGGCTAGGCCCAAGGTGAATTTACTAACAAGGTGCCGTTCTCCGCTAAGGGGGAGGACCAATTCACCACGCTCAGCAAGCGTGAGGATTGCGATTGGTCCGCTGTGGTGAAGACGTAAATTTCCCTTGGGCTGGGCCTATGCAACTGGGAATCCAACAGTTTCTGTTGCCAATTTACCAATCACACATCGATGGCTGCCTCGATTTATGATTTTCTATGATTTTTCTCCATCTTAATGTTCCATTGGGCATCACTTGGTCACGGGTCTCACCTGCTCTTGCTCGCAGCTGGAATTTATGCAAGTAAATTCGGTGAACAGACGCGTTGTGGTGTAAGTCTTGTACGTTCCGAGTCGAAGCTAATTTTATGCAGGCATTTGAACAGACAAATGAATTGGAATGAGAATAATTATTGTACGGATCATGGGCTCTGGGCTCTGATGATGATTGTGGCAAGTTGAAGTTAAAGGCACACACACACACACACACACACACGAACACACACTGAAGCACACTGAGAGTTGCATTTGGAATGCAGACAGACAAAGGTTGAAAATGTCAAAGTCTCTTACGGAGTCTGTGCCTGTGTCTGTCTGGCAGTGACAATTTTTTTTGCATTGTTTGCCCTGTGGCGACGGGGAGGGGGCTTCATTTTCTTTTCTTCTCATGTTTTTCTATTGGCCAACAATGGGTTAAGAGCAGCCTTCAAATACTGTGGCCAGGCCCCATTTTTGTTTGCTTTTGCTGCCGCTGCTGTGGAATTTAGTAGCTGCCTGTTAATTTTTGGGCCCTCCATTTCAATCAATTTTGTGTTTATTTTTGGGGATTTCTTGCCAATGACAATCAGCTGTGCTGTGGACCTCGCCTCGCTGCTATTATTATTTTTGTTGATTAAAACCTAAAAGCAAATACAAATTCCACAGTTCATCAGAAGTTTTTCGTAGCCGTCGATGGCACCATCAGTTCCAATTAAGGTGTGAGTCTCCAAGTACAATTTATGCACATTTTTAGTTGGCTGAAGATCTAGTTTTGAGATTATAATTGCTGTCAAATCATAGGACCCGCTCCACATAATTACTGCATGTACATTTATCGCATAGAAATGAAAACAAACTCGCTTAACATTCAGAGCTCAGTGCCCGCCTCTGCCCTGCCCCTCCCCATCTGTCTAATCTCGTTGAACAACAATCATTCGCATTCGCATTCGGATTACCCGATCTCCTACCTCCTACCGATTGTCCCTGTTCCTCGGATCTGTGTATGTTGTGTGTACAATTAAGGCGGCAAGGTCGTCGTCGTCGTCGTCGTCGTCGTCGTCGTCGTCGTCGTCGTCGTCGTTGAAATTAACATTTGAAATGACTTCATACGAAAATAATTGCACGCCGCCAAAGACAAACGAACGCAACGAGAGAGCAGACGACTGACTGCAGAGAGAGAGCGAGAGAGCCGCCGATCGATGGTGGGGGAATGAAATGGATTGGTTCAAGTTGATGGCAAGTGGAACGGTGTGGTGAGGTGTGTTTCGGCATGGTGTTGGGGGGAGCAGGCGAATAAGTGGAATACGCACTTTGAAAACGAGTGCAACGCACGCGGCCTGCAGCTGGCCCCACCAACTGGCTGCTAACGGGCCAATTTATGCCTTGACTTATGAAATAGGCGGCCACAAATCTCCAGCGCAATCAAAACGAAACCAACAAGAAACCGAAGTTTTCAATGCACTTTCGAGTTTGGTGTGGAAAAATATGACCAAAAATTGTTAGGGCACTTGCAAGAGGGCTGTGATTGGAAGGATTATTATTAGGATCAGTGTTCATATCGTGCCCTCCTTGGGTTGCCTAAGCACTTGCCCATATCATTAGATGTCAGTCAGTCGCGTTGGCTGGGAACTGGAACTGGAAGCGTCTGCGTCTGCGTCTGCGTTTTGTTCCCCCTTTCACTTTCAAGTAGCGGGCAGTGGGCAGTGGGCAGGCGGCAGTGTCTCCCGTTTGTGTCTTTATTTTTTTGGCCTGCTTGCAATTTTCTTGTTTTCGTTTCGCATTGATTATTATTTATAATATGCGCGCTTCAAGGAAAAACTTTCGCTGCATGCAACCTATTTGGTGTGGTTGCACTTCCTGCAATTATCGCATAAATAAATACGAGTACTCCCGGTAAGTCTTGCGGTACGCGTGTGCCATGCGTGTGCCCAGCAGAGAGACCTGCACTTGGTTGCATAACCCCTCCCCAACGATGGCATCCAAAAACCAAAACTATATGCGAGTATGCAACACAATTATGCAAGAATTTGTGTGTCTGCAAATTCAAATCGAAAATGGGTGGAGGAAAACGATTTGCCTGCCCATAACGAAAACTTCCAAGGCCCAAATCAAATGTTTCACCATAGCCTATCGATTTTTGTTTAAGAAACTTAAGAAACAAATAAAGATGTACAAAAATATGTAAATATGTAATTACTCTCATCTTTTGCTGACTTTCAGAATTAAAGTGAAATGAAACTTCTTTGAGTTCGCTTCGCATAACCGCACTTGGGGCAGGGCCACGTTTTTGCCAGAACTATGCGACAGTGGGCCAAACAGCCCATTAAGTGCTTCAGGTCTGAGGGCAAAGTCGTAAAGAAAAAAGACACTAAATGTACGTATGTACAGATGTATCCACGTTTGTTCGTACCTTCGTAGGCAAATACTTTCCATTTTTGTCCATTTGCTTGCAAATTGTATCTACAATGTATCTGTCTATCCATGTATCTTTGTATCCATGTTTTGTGTGTAATTGCACGAACAAACAAAAATGAATAGTTACAGAAACAATTGGCAATTGGACTTTTGCAAAACAAAACCACACTCGCTTCGAGTTTTAAGATTTAAGATTTGGATTTACGTTGCTGGTTTTTGCTTGCTTGTCCCAAATTCGATTGGAATTTTGGCAACCAACTTTGGGGTTAACCATGGGTGGCTACAAATAGGGAATGGTAGCAGCTGTTTCCCCAATATTAAGAATATTAGTGTTATGTTTATTAACGAAATAATTGTATCTTTCTTTCTTCTAGTACAAATTGATGTACTGCCAAAAGTGTGTTCAGCTTTTGAGCTATATTTTGATCAGAATTCATTGCTAAACAGCTGAAAGAAACGTTCTTGATACAAATAAGTAAAGTGCCAATAAATATTAAATATAATAATTGTGCTCTTTGGGAGGATCCTTTGATCAGTAAGTAATAGATGCTAAAAATGTGGGACCTAAAAGTGCTGAAGCAGCGTCCCCACCGGCAAATCCCCGGCTAATGGGAGCTCTGCCTTGCACGTGGTATTATTTTCCTTGCTTTTCGCACCCCTTGCCCACGCTATACATTTTTTTCTTGTTTTTTTTTTTTGTACATCTTTGGCAAACTTACGCTAATTGAAGCGGCGTCTCTGGCCTTTGTTTTGTGTTATTGTCTATTTATCAACGATTTTCTCCTGCTGAGCTTCGGCTGGTGCTGGTGCTGGTGCTGGTGCTAATGCTGTTGCTGGTGGTTTGCCGGCAGCCTGCTGCGTGCAATTAACATTCAACAAATTCCATTTCACTACAACGCACACACAAACACAAAAAAAAGACACACACACACCTCACACAGGTGCACGATATTGGTAGATTGGATGCTGCGACGAGACGATCAATGAAACAGCAACAACAACAAAAAATAGTAATCGGTGGATAGCCGAAAAGAAAAACGCGAGACGGAGACGGAGATGAAACGAAACGAAACGAAACGATTCACATCCACTCACAGTACCGTTAGCCGTTTGTAGGAGAGCTCTCTGCTTGCGTTGCGGCCGCTTGGCGCTTTCGTTAGTGACTGAGCAAGCGCGGCTTCGGCTTCGACTTGGACTTGGACTACCGTTCGGTGCGCCGAGGCCGACAGCGCTGTCGCTGCCAAAAGCGGAGCTTTACCCTATGCCAGGCAGGTAGGCCAGCATTGGGCTTTGCTTTGGTATGCCACAGCATTGTTGTTGCTGTGACTTATGCTGCTGCTGCTGCTGCTGCTGCTGCTTTACAACCTGTTCGCGTAAATCTGCGTTTAAAGAAGTGGCGACAACAAACGGTAATGAGCTTGCACCGCAGCCGCCGCACTGCACTCTGCAGCTTTCGAATTGAACTTTTTGTGCTGCCGCCGCTGCAGTCAGCATCTTCCACAGCCTGACATCGCCTTCAATTTCAATTTGCTCTTCAGCTGCAGCCAGCAGCACTGTTGACGTCATGCAGGCATTCGTTGATAAGCGCAAATAATTGAGAGTTAGAGAGTGAGGACAGGCAGAGAAAGAGAGAGTGAGAAGAGTTGGGCGTAGGAAAGAGACTGAGGGAATCTTTAATCTTCTTATAATATTCATGGAATATCTAGAATTTGCGCTGATCTGAAGCAACTGAATGGTGTTCGTTTGTCACTGATGGCTCTGAAAATGCAGTGGAAACTTGTTCTCCCCAACCCAAATGTTGGACGCACTCGTACATATTGATGTACATACTTACATACATTTGTACATTTGCAGTCTCTATGGCTGTTGCAGTGCTAACTTATGTTAATCGAATTCCCATAAAACAGAACTCAATGCCTTCGCCTTGGGCTGTTCGTTCAGTTTGGATTGGATTATTTTTTTGGTTTTTTTCTTTGACACTTAGGCGAGTGCCCGACGTGACTAGAGAATCTTTTATTTTGCTTGTCTTTCGATGGTTTATTTTTTGTATTTACTTTGTATCTTGTGTCACTTTTTGGCCACTAATGGCCTGTTTATGTAAGCGGCAAGTATTTCTGGGATTATAAATATAAATATATATTTTTGATGTGTATGTAAATGAATAAGACGCTTAACGGTTGCATTGCAAGTGCTTAACGGCAGCACCAGCCCACAAAAAAGCTCCGCAAAGATAAGGCCACAAAAAAAAACCAAAAGGAAATTACCAAATTATAGGCCATATAAAATAAAACGAACGCCGAAGCAGCCACCAGCAACCAGCAGCAACAATTAAAAGTTTTTTTTGAGCACTTTTGGGGCTCCAACACCCATCCCAGCCACAGACCATTTGGCAGTAAAAAGTCTTAAATAGAGCGTTCAGTTGGTGCGTATTTTTTGTGAAAGCAACAGCAACAAGTGGCAGCAGCAGGCAGCAGGCGCAGGCAGGCAATAAAATTACAGTCATAGAGCCAAGAACGCACAAACATTTGTGGCCCGAAACAATCAAAGGAACTCGAACCAGAAGCAGTTATCGTTTAAGTAAATTAATAAATAAATGCCTGCCAAATGGATTGCACTTGAACTGTTTTTGCTGCGGTTCCTCTATTGTTAATGTAATTGGCAGCTAACAGTAATGAGAGCAGATGGTTTGAGCATCGGGAGTGGCTTACTGCTGATCTTAAAGACCCGAGCGGTCAAAAAAATGCTTCCTTCTGGATGTTCCTATGTGAAGTTCGTATCGGGTAGAAGCTGCAGCTGGAGGAGGCAATCTCTCTGCTCCCACAACCAAATAAAATCTGCAAGCTCACAAACAACAAACAAAAGAAAAACACAAAGCAGCAAAAATGTTTCAAAAATTGCTGAACAACAAAAAAATACTCCTGGCTGCTTGGGCACTTCATGACTGGTTTTTCACTTGTTTGGGGCTGTCTTTTACTTTTTTTGTTTGGTTGTTTGTTTATTTTTTTTAGTTGTTCCCCCCGCTGACTGTGGCACTTGCTTTATGTAAGTTGCAACCTGCCGCTGTGGCTGCTGCAACTGCGACAAGTTTGCGCCTTAAGTCTTTCGTTTTGTGCTCGTTTTCATTTTCGTTTGACGGCGGCGCGCTCATAAATCGCTGAGCAAATTGCGAAAGGCTAAAGGCATGATAAGCAGGATGGATACGGGGATACGTGCAGTATGGATTGCAAATGGTTATAAGTGAGCATAAATATGCACGAGCAGAAGTGGATAGTTACAGAGGGGGAAGAAAAATGAATGCTAGTTTAATGGGCTAAGAAATGGGCACAAGCATGGTTTAGATTAGATTAGAAGTGATATTCGAAGTGGTTTAAGGGATAGACTACTCGGATTCAAACAGAAACCAGAAGCCATACACGTTACTTAGGTAAAGAGCTGAGCTGAGTACTCCAGCGATGTCGATCGAGAAACAAGTTCAATCTGCGGATCAAGCCGAGCCCAAAAATCTGCCAACACACACACACACACACACTGAAAGAGAGCAAGAGAGTTAGAGGGAGAGGAAGAGGGAGACAAGCCACACAGACAAAGTCAATGATCTGCCCCTGCCACCTGCCGAAGAAACTTGAACATTTTTGCCGTCTGCTTTCACTCTCCATTGGACGGAATACGGAATTCTTTCATAAATTTCTTGGCCACGCAGCTGGAGAGGAGGAAAAGAGAGTTAAAAACAATTTCGAGTTAACGACTTTTTTCCTCTTTGAATCTTTTTTCACTCTCCATCACTCTCTTATGAGTGTGTGTGTGTTTGTAATTTGCAATGTCCGTCTTGATCTCTACTGCCGCTCCTAACTGCCAATCCCCCAAATCCCCCTACCAAAAACTGCGTAATTAGCTAAACAATAGAGTGCCCTGGCGGATTTGACTGAAGATTAATGAGCAATCACCATACGAACAGGATGGGGAGTTGACTCCATAGCTTTAGCTGTGGATGACGCCCTCTGGTTGTTCGTAAAATGAAAAGCATTTACCGGCGACGACCACATCAACGACAGCGGCCATCATCAGGCAGCGCACCCATCGACGCATCGACGCAGCCGCAGCCGCAGCAGCGGCAGAAAGTAAGAAAGAAAGAAGAAAAGAAGAAGAAGAAGGAGATGGAGAAGAAAAAACAACATTTCTGACTCGAGCCGAAGTGAAAAAGAAAGTGAAGCTGTCGAGCCACCCCGGATCGGATCGCAGCGGATCGGTTCGGTTCGGCTCTGATCGGATCGGATCGGTCTCTCTGCCAAAAAGTTGTCTCTTTTGTTGTTGCTTATGTTTATTCTGCCAACAAAGAAAAAGATGACAAAAGCAATGTTTAAGCATTTTCTATTATGCAAATATTTCGGCAGCTGACTCCATGAATATTCACTGCCAAAAAAACAACAAAAAGAAATGCTCAACAAAATAACAAAAGGCAAACAAGAAATTGAAAAAAAAAACAACAATTGATTTCGCTTTGCATTCGTTAATCCTGAATCTAGGAACAAAAATTCTGTGCGTTTTGCAAGCGCTGCCTGCGCCGACATTTGCATCACAGCATGGCCTTACTTACGCTGTACGTAACGAAAACGCACCTTCAAGATCCCCGAATCGCTGGCGAGCTGAAGATGAGAAGGAACAGGCAATAGCTAAATGGAAGGGCCATCCATTTAGCAGACACTTACAGCGTTCCAAAAATTCCACAACAATTTCCTGGCTTGGCTGGAAGCTTTTGGAATGTACATTTTCTAAAACTACAAGTATAACTATGTTCGTTGGCTGTGCATTCGATTAGCCAGGGCATTTGAATAAATTGGCAAAAGCAAAAAACAAAAGCGAAATAAGGGTCACACTCTCGCCTCTTTAGAACTTTCCCCAGAGGCGAAACTTTTGCGGTTATGGCTAGCTGGTAGCCAGGTAGCCAGCTGTCCGCACCTGCACCCGCATCAGCAACCGCAGCGAACGCCGACGCTGCCGACGCTGCCAACGCTCCCGCTCCCACCTGCTGCTCCCGCATGCAAATGCTGCTCCCGCACCCAACTAAATGCCAAACAGCGCACAGCTAATGGCCTGGCGGTCTATGCAAAACAGCCACGGTCAAAATAATAGGTACGCGCACGATGCCTAAGCGTACCTTCTGCAAACAAGCGAAGCACTTGCAACTCCAATACCATTTCCATTTAAATTATTTAAGGAACATATAAAGCCAAGATTAATATATTTACTATCGTGTATGAAATCATTCCCTAATTTGGTAAATCACCTCAAGTTCTTATTGGTGTGCCTATTGGCATCGCCACGAGTGTGTGCAACGCACGTGAGTGTGTGGGATGCCCACACTTTTGCTCTTATTACAGTTTGAATAGTCCCTCGCTCACTCTCTTACTCTCTCTCTCTTTCTATGGCGCGCGCTTTTTCTCTCACCCTTCTTTGCATACTTCACCTACTTCTTAAGCTTTGGCGCGCGTGCAAAATTAACCAAAAACTAAATTGAGTGGAAATTGTAATTTATGGCTGGTTTTTTTGTGGCTGTTTCTGGCTGAGATGCTCCAACGGAACCTGCGGATACACCCACAAATATATTTACATATGTGAATACATAATGAGAATGTTTATGCATTTGCATCGTTCATTTGACAGCCACCAAATGCAGGCTGATTTCTGCTCTTAACAGGGTTTAGCTATCATCGAGCATTTATTTAACTTGAAGCTCTATCTGCTATGGTCTGTTCCACAATCTCTTTTTGCTGCGTGTAGGCTTCAGAATCTAGCTGCAAGATCTCTCAATCATCATCTAGCATTCAAAGCGTCGCGCGTCATTACTCAGGCGTACAGAGAGGGAGAGTGGAGAGGGAGAGTGAATGAGCGTGAAACAAGCGCAGCGCTGCCTGCAGTCGCATTTGTCTTTTCCACTTCCACTCCCACTCCCATTCTCCCTCCCACACCATCCCATCCCACCAGCCTGTGGAACCCCATGGCCATCAGTGGGTGCTGTGTTGTGTTGTGCGTAGTGGAACGTGTCTGACATACGCAATTTAGAATTTGCAATGGCAATCGAATGTGGATCGAGGCTGACAAGTGAAAACGACTGCTGCCCTGACTGGTGTGAGACGCATTCTGGCCTGCGTCTCTCTCTCTCTCTCTCTCTCTC